TCTGTACAGGTCCACGTCTTCGTATAGCCCCCATACAACGGTACCTGCCGATATTCGGTTTTTTAATGATTTTATGGATATTTTTTCACCAGAATTGTTTCAAATTTGGTATTTGCAGTTCGTAATGGATACTACATCCTATGACAGAAAATTGTCTGTGCAGGTCCACGTCTTCGTATAGCCCCCATATAACGGTACCCCCCGATATTCGGTATTTTGATGATTTTAGCGACATTTGTTACCGGAACTATTTCAAATTTGGTATTTGAGTTTCGTAATGAATACTACAGCCTAAGACAGAAAATGAGCCATGTAGGTCCACGTCTTCGTATAGCCCCCATATAACGGTACCTCCCGATATTCGGTTTTTTAATGATTTTATGGATATTTTTTTACCAGAATTGTTTCAAATTTGGTATTTGCAGTTCGTAATGGATACTACATCCTATGACAGAAAATTGTCTGTGCAGGTCCACGTCTTCGTATAGCCCCCATATAACGGTATCCCCCGATATTCGGTATTTTGATGATTCTAGCGACATTATTTACCGGAATTGTTTCATATTTCGCATTTGAAGTTCGTAATGGATACTACATCCTATGACAGAAAATTGTCTGTGCAGGTCCACGTCTTCGTATAGCCCCCATATAACGGTACCCCCCGATATTCGGTATTTTGATGATTCTAGCGACATTATTTACCGGAATTGTTTCATATTTCGCATTTGAAGTTCGTAATGGATACTACAGCCTATGCCAGAAAATTGTCTGTGCAGGTCCACGTTTTATAACCACCATGGTACCTCCCTATATTCGGTATTTTGATGATTTTAGCTACATTATAAAAATATTTTTTTTTTTTTAAATTTCGCATTTGAATATTGTAATAGCTTGTGGCAAAAGTGGCCTATGCAGGTCCACGTCGTCGTATAGACCCTAATATACGGCTACATTCGGTATTTTTAAGATTTTAACAGAATTTTTAACGGATTTTATTTTTTTGAAAATTGCCAAATTTGTACCAAACGGTGGAGGGTATTCAAAGTTCGGCCCGGCCGAACTTATAGTTTTATTACTTGTTTTTTTTTTTTTTATTTGTTGACTCAGTAGTCTCTGTAATCAGTTATTAACACCCAATAATGACAGAAGCAAACGACAAAGGCAATTTACACTGCCCGAAATTTTAATACGGTAGTCTTCATTGTATTAATAGCTTGGTGGCCAGAGAGGTGGGACCTTCTTGTTTTTTGTGTTTTTAATAAATTGAAAATATCGTATTTGATCCGTCTTGAATAAGAAAATTCCACAAGTGCTGAAAACCACTATCCATTCTACGTCCATTCATCCATGGGGAGAGCTATGTTTTGTTGATTAGGACAACAATGATGACGACCACAATGACCAAAATGTTGATTTTAAGAAACTGCGTCAATTCTTTCAATTTCACATAATTTCGAATACAAATTTTCCAAATTAGATGTCAGTGGTTGTGTGTGAATTCCCACCATGCTGTCTTAAGTGAAGGGGGGGGGGAGGAAGGAAATACTACGATGGGGGCTAGCAATAATAAACAATTCTAAGTAAACAAAAAAAATAATGCAAATAAATTGCATTTATTTTATTGTATCTATTGAAAAAAGAAAAAAAAAAACATAAACTGTAAACAATTGCTGGGAAATTGTTATAAATTAATGAAGGTTATTCAAAGTGTTGACACCTTTGTAGGGGGGTATCAGAAGCAGAGGTCCAATACATTCCATCTTTACACCAAATCTTCTATTGAAAGACATATTGTGATATGCGAATTCGGAAAGTAATCTGATACTCAGTTCGGATTTTATGGGCATTTTGGTTATTCAAAAATTTGCTGTCTTTGTGGGGGAGGTACCAGAAGCAGTGGGCCGATGTACTCCATCTTCACACCAAATCTTGTTTTAATAGAAACATTAAAATATGGCGAGTTTGAAAGTGATCCGAAGCTCATTTCGCGTTTTATGAGCATTTTGGTTATTCAAAGGGAGGTACGAGAAGCAGTGGGCCGATATCTATCATCTTCACACCAGATATAGTGTTGATATAAATATTGCGATATTCCAGGTTGGAAAGTAATCTGATACTCATTTAATATTTTATGAGAGTTTTGGGTTATTCAAAATTTGGATCTCTTTATGGGGGAGGTACCAGAGGGATTGGTCCGACATATTCAATCTTTATACCAAATCTTGTGTTGATAGAAATATTAGGATATGCCGAGTTTGAAAGTAATCTGATACTTATTAAGCATTTTATAGGCATTTTAGTTATTCAAAATTTGGATCTCTTTATGGGAGAGGTACCAGAGGGAGTGGTCCGACATATTCCATCTTAAAAACTGATATCTTGTTGATATAAATATTGCGATATTCCAGGTTGGAAAGTAATCGGATGCTCATTTCGCGTATGTTGAACATTTTGGTTATTTAAAATTTTGATGTCTTTGTGGGGGAGATACCAGAAGGAATGATCCGATATCTATCACCTTCACACCAAATCTTGTATTGATAGAAATATTGAGATGTGCAAAATATGAAAAGAATCGGACTCCTATTTCCTATTTTATAAGAGTTGTGATTATTAAAAAATTCGACCCGTTGTGGGGAAGGTACCAGAAGAAGTGGTCCCATATATTCCATCTTCACTCCAGATCTTGCCTTGATAGAAATATTGGGATGTGCAAAATTTAAAGAAAATCTGACTTTTATTTCATATTTTATAATAAGTTGTAATTATTTAAAATATTGGCCTTAGTGGGGGAGGTACTTGATGGGGTCTACCGATATTGCTCATCTTCGAACTCGATCTAAATTTGATAATAATATCACGCTCTACAAAGTTTGGATCACATTGGATACTATCTTCTAGAGTTATTGTGCGCACTCCTAGATCAAATGTCCTGAAACAAATTTGGTCCAAAGCGACCGAGGATCTAAAACCGTGAAAAAAATATTTTTTTTAAATTCACGTCTACATGGATGCTCTGAAAAAAATATATATTTTTTTTAAATCCACATTTACTATGAAGCCTAAAAAAATATTTAATAAAATGTAAAAAAATAAGAATTCAAGTTACTTGGAGGCTTTGAAAAAAGAAATTATAAAAAATACATTTATTAAGAAGTTTTAAAAAATTAAAAAATAGTTTTTAAAAAATACGCATTGAAAAATAAAAACCCCACATATATTATTTTTTAAAAAAATCCACGATTACTAGGACGCCTTGAAAAAATATTTTATATTTATATATTAATAGGAATCCTTACATTTTTTAAATCCACGTTTAATGGGTCGCCTTGAAAAAATATTTTTAAAAAAATTCAAGTTTACTTGGATGCTTTGAAAATATTTAAAAAAACACGTTTACACGTTTAAAAATATTAAAAAAACACATTTACACGTTTAAAAAATATTTTTTTTTAAATCCAAGTTTATTTGGACGCTTTGAAAAAAAAATATTTTTAACGAATCCACGTTTACTAGAATGCCTCGAAAATATTTTTAAAAAATCAACGTTTATTTGGACACATTGAAAAAAAATATTTTTAACAAATCCACGTTTACTAAGACACTTTGAAATATATTTTTTTATAAAAAAACACGTTTAAGAAGCTTTGAAAAAATATTTTTAAAAAATCCACGTTTACTAAGACGCTTTGGAAAAATATTTTTAAAAAATCCACGCGTGACAAGACGCCATGAAAAAATATTTTTAAATAGTTCACTTTTACTAAGAATCCTTGAAAAAATATTTTTTTTTAAATCCACGTTTACTTGGACGCCTGTAAAAATATTTTTAAAAAGTCTACATTTATTAGTATGCCTTGAAAAAATATTTTTTTTAAGTCCACGTTTACTGGGACGCCCTGAATTTTTTTTTTTTAAATCCGTATTTAAAAGAAATCCTTGAAAAAAATATATTTATTGTATTTAAAAGAAATCCTTGAACAAAATATTTAAAAAATTAAAAATATTTAAATAATACATGTTAACTAGGATGCTTTGAAAAAATATTTTTTTAAAAATCGACATTTAATAGGAATCATTGGAAAAATTTTTTTTTAAAAAATCGACATTTAATAGGAATCCTTGAAAAATATTTTTTAAAAAATCGACATTTAATAGGAATCCTTGAAAAATATTTGTTAAAAAATCGACATTTAATAGGAATCCTTGAAAAATATTTGTTAAAAAATCAACGTTTACTTGGACACTTTGAAAAAAATATTTTTAGAAAATCCACGTTTACTAGAATGCCTCGAAAATATTTTTAGAAAATCCACGTTTACTAGAATGCCTCGAAAATATTTTTAGAAAATCCACGTTTACTACAATGCCTCGAAAATATTTTTAAAAAATCCACGTTTACTAGAATGCCTCGAAAATATTTTTATCAAATCCACGTTTACTAAGACGCTTTGAAATATATTTTTTACAATCTACACGTTTAATAGGAAGCCTTAAAAATATTTTTAAAACATCCAGATTTACTGGTACGCTCTGAAAAATTATTTTTAAAAAATCCACGCTTACTAAGACGCCATGAAAAAATATTTTTAAATAGTTCACGCTTACTAGGAAGCCTTGATAAATATTTTTTTAAAAAATCCACGTTTACTGGTGGGTTTTGAAATATATTTTTTAAAAAATCTACACTTACTTGGACGCCGTGAAGAATATTGTTTAAAAATCCACATTGATCCGTTTTGAAAAAAAATATTGTTAAAAAAATCACAGTTAATCGGACGCCTTGAAAAAAATATTTTTTAAAAAATCCATTTTAACTGGGACGCCTTCAAAAATATTTTTAAAAACCCTACATAAATAAGGACGCCTTGAAAAATATTTTTTAAAAAATCCACGTTGACTTGGACGCCTTGAAAAATATTTTGAAAAAGGAGCCTTCAAATAATATATTTCTTAGATTATATTTTTTACATTAATTTTTTTTATTGTCTCCTTTTCAGATTAATAAAAAATGAGACTGGACGCGCTATACTGCGTGTAATATCTGGACCGAGAGCGTTTCGTGTTGTTCTATTTACACGATTAACGCCAATACCATTTGGTATTCAAAATGCTATATTTGGGGTAAGTTTACAACGTTAATAATAAAAAAAAAAACAAGTAAAAAAGCTGTAAGTTCGGCCGACCGAACTTTTAGTAATTTTTTGTGTTGCACAGTGTTATCAAATCGTTTTTCAGTTTACATATTTTTAAATTTTTTTTGTATGTCATTGACGATTTTTAGTTTATTTTGTTTGTTTGGAAATATTTGTATTTTGCAATAGTATGGTATGCATATGCCCACATGTTTCTGTTTTTATTTTTTTATTTGAGGCATTTTTTTTTGATATCCATCTGTACCAAAAAGAAACCATAAACAAAGTCAAACCAAAAATAAATTACAATTAAAATTTTTATTGTTTATGATATACCATATACACACATATTCCTATAGCCAAATACATACGTTCGATGTCATTGTTGCGTCTGGACGAATTGTGTGTGATGTGATCATGATGTGTGATTCTGTCTGTGGCCGGTCGGTCGGTCGTCTGGCCAAAAAGCGTCGCAAAAAAGAAAATAGGAGGAAAATAAAATTCCAATACACCAGACTAAGACCTCAATCAAATACATAGTCTATTTATTGTCTTTGTTGCTGCGTGCGCGGACACATGGACTTGTAAGGGTGACCATATAAATAATTTACAGAGAAATCTTTTCGATTTCCAAAATTTAGCTGGAATCGTTTTTCTTTATCTTTTCTATAGAAAAAAAAACAACATTTCTTTGCTCATATGTTATGTGACTTTTGCCAAATTTAGCCATAACATATTTAAAGCATAATTTTAGGCGCTTCCATAGATTCCCCATATAGCTACTTTAATCCTTTCAGTGTTTTTGTCAAATATATTTGACATTTAAAAGTACTCTCTTTCTTTGCCATTTTTTGTTTTTCTTACGAACCGTTAGTTTTTATATTTTTTAATAACAGACACGTTCGCTATTTAAAAATATTGCAGTTATATTCTATTAGTTTCGTTTTCGAATTTCTGAGCACATTTTAGTAAATTAGTACGGAATTTCAGATTTTTATCTCGACAAAAATTTTCATTGACACTGAAAGGGTTAACAGCGAAAAGTCCGGCTTAAAACTTTAGATTCGTCCCAAACGTTCAAGTTAGACCTTGTTAGTACTTAAAATTCACAATTTCTTCAGGTTGACAACATTTTGTTTTTACTCGAATCTTTATACCTAGTTCTAAATTTTCAGAATTTCATTGTTTTATGTACACATGGTAAGATGAAAAAACTGCAACCAACTTCAGACTGCTGTCATTTCTAAGCCACTCGTCCGACAGCTGTTAAAATTATTCCAGTGACAGCTCATTATATTGTTTACAAGCATACAAAAGAATTTTGGTGAGAATTTTCCAGAAAAAAAAGTTTATCGTGACGGAATCCAAGCGTGATAGTGTGATTTCTTTATATTTGGCTGGAAAGCCTCAAGTGGCTATCGTTAGAGTACTCCAGCATTTAAATTTGAATAAATCTTTTGTGTCTCCTACCATCGCTCGTTACCGTTATACTGGTAGCGTAGCCCGACGACGTCAAGGAAGTGGACGTAAGAAAACAGCAACATCAGCAGAAATGGTTCGAAAAGAAAAAAGAAGCAGCGACTTGATCGAAACCCGCGTCGCAGTGGCCGTTTGTTCTTAACATATCGCAATGTTTCATTCGGCAAATATTGAAAAATGAGCTCGGGGTGAAGCCATTGAAATTCCAAAAAGTGCAAGAACTTACACCGCAACATAGAGAAAATAGACTCAAAAGAGCTAAAGGGTTGCTTCGCTTGGCTGAAAGTGGTGAACTGCCGAATTTGGTTTGGTGGTCTTCTGTGAGAAAACATTCGTTGTGCAGCAGTTTGTAAACAAACAAAATGAAACTTGCCAAAGAGGTCAGCTGAAAATGTGCACCTTCGGTAGACCACCAGAACTCAAGCGCTGGCCATGGTGATGGTGAGAGCCGCCATAACAGCCGATGGTCGCTTTCGGCTGGTATTAATCAACCGTGGCATCAGAATATTATCGCGAAAATATTCTAGTAAAGCCTTGGGCACGCAAACATTTTGGCTGCAGACCTTGGACATTCCAACGGGACTCAGCACGCGATAACCAAGAATGCTTACAAAATGAGGTTCCTCGCTTCATTTCCAGCGCACGATGGTCACCAAAATCTCCTGATACCAACCCGTTAGACTATTGGGTCTGGAGTATTTTGGAAAGCTAGGTTGGGACTAGAAAAATACCAAGGTGTTGATCACCTCAAGCAAGCACTTCGCCGGGAATAAATGACGAATATTATTGCGAAAATATTCTGGAGGGTGTATTAAAGCCTTGGGCACGCAAAAATTTTGGCCGCAGACCTTGGATATTCCAACAGGACTTAGCACGGGCCACCCAAGAATGGTTACAAAATTAGGTTACTCGCTTCATTTCCAGCGCACGATGGTCACCAAAATCTCCGGATACCACTCCGTTGGACTATTGGGTCTGGAGTATTTTGGAAAGCAAGGTTGGGACTAGAAAAATACCAAGGTGTTGATCACCTCAAGCAAGCACTTCGCCGGAAATAAATGTCGAATATTATCGCGAAAATATTCTGGAGGGTGTATTAAAGCCTTGGGCACACAAACATTTTGGCCGCAGACCTTGGATATTCCAACAGGACTTAGCACGGGCCACCCAAGAATGGTTACAAAATTAGGTTCCTCGCTTCATTTCCAGCGCACAATGGCCACCAAAATCTCCGGATACCAACCCGTTAGACTATTGGGTCTAGAGTATTTGGGAAAGCAAGGTTGGCACTAAAAAATACCAAAGTGTCGATCACCTCAAGCAAGTGTTTCGCCGGGAATGGACCAAAATACGGCAGAGCAACATTCGTGCAGCGTGAGACGGTTTCATCGGCCACTTGAAAGCCATAATTCGTGCCAAAGTTGACCAATTCGAACAAATCTAAACTTTTTCAAAAATTTGATGCTATTTCCGACATTTTTAGCTTTCATTCAATAAAATTTAGGAAAAAAAATGTAAAAATTATGGCGTTTGATTTTGTTGCAGTTTTTTTATCTCAACCTGTAATTAGAGGAATTATCGCTCGAGAAACATGCTTTCCGTTGAATAGAATTTCGCGCCGATTTTCAGTTCAATATATAGGAGATAAGCAAAGTAATTCTATAGGTGGTGAGAGGCGACAGAGTGTTTCTCACTTGTGTGGTCATCTTTTTAGTGGGATTCATTGTTCTGAAAATTTCTATACATTCCTCTTTTCATTTCAAACTCCAATAGATCTGGTACAAAATATGTTTTTTATTTACCCAACTAATTGACATGGAAACATTTCAGATGAGTTACTCTCCACTAACTTCTCACAAATGTGAACAAACGATAATTTATTTTTTCAGATATTTACAAAGTCAATTTTTGTTACGCCTCAAAATGTGATAAAATATGTAACAACAAAAGCAAAAGCTCAGCTGCTAATTATTTCCAACAAGTTTGTTGAAATCCGAGCCTACTGTAAATGAGATTAATATAAATTTATTTTTTTTTTTCAAATCTGAACTTATTGGATTTTGCAAAACAAGTACCCCTTGAACAATGTTTTCCGTTGTTGAAAGGAAATATCTAGCGACTGGCATGAAATTCCGCAAATTGTAAATAACAAGCAACCAAATCAAATATTAATTAAATTTGCATTTCAAAAATATTTAGTTACACTTATCAATGTGTAGAATGAAGGGGGGAGGGGGGCTTTGTGAGGCCTCGGAATATTTTATACCCTCAGCCATATGGCTAGAGAGGGTATATATCATTTGATACGACCAAAACGTGCGCACTCATCGAAATAACTGGTTATAGACCCTAGAGTTATGTTTTATGATTTAGTAATAAAACACATTAAGTTGTATTTTAATATTTTATTAAAAATGTATTATTTCGGCTAAAGACTTAATATTTAACCGATAAATAATTATACAACTTTCCAATTTGAGATCTCTTTAAGAACTGAACTTTAAACAAACTACATTGTATTACAAAGGTAAATATTCTACAATTGAACTTGATGAGCATGAAAATATGTTATTTATAATAATTTAGGAGTTAATGAGGAGTTGGAGAACACGTCTGCTTAAGAGCAAGAGAGAGAGAGAGAGAGTGGGAATATAACAGTAAGTTTCTCGGAGAGGAATTGTGAATTAAAGAAGTTGGATTAAATCAGAGATGTCTAGTAAGTTTTAATAGTGTAAGTAAGGAATAGTGAGTTAGTTACAGTAGAGGCAATATAATATGACTCTAGGTCTCTTTGGACCAAATCCGTTTCAGAACCTTTGGAGTCGATCTAGCGTTTTCCGTCCGTTTATCTGTCTGTCTGGCTGGTGCGCATGATAACTCTCAACGGGAGTATTCAACTTAGTCCAAATTTGGTACACTGTAATATTATTATCAAACTTAAATCGAATTCGGAGATGGGCACTATCGGTCCTCTCCTTCTGGTACCTCCCCACAAAAGATCGGAATTTTCAAAAAAAATATTTTACTGCACAGAAAGAGAAACGATTATCCGATTTTGCTCCTACTTGGCAAATCCTAATATTTACATCAGTTCTAGGTCAGGTGCGAAAATGGACAATTTCGGTCCACTCCATCGAGTACCTCCCCCACAATGGGTCAAACTTTTGAATAATAACAACTCCTATTAAATGTGATGTAAGAGTCCGATTGGCTTCAAATTTCACACATCCTAATATTTTTATCAATCCAAGGTCTGATGTTAAGATGGAATATAGCGGTCCACTTCTTCTGATACCTCGCCCACAAAAGGTCGAAATTTTCAAAAAAAAAAAAATATTTTACTTCACAGAAAGAGAAAGGATTATCCGATTTTGCTCCTACTTTGCAAATCCCAATATTTGCTCCAAAGCTAGTTCAGGTGCGAAAATGGACAATGACGGTCCATTCCATCGAGTACCTCCCCCAAAAAGGGTCAAAGTTTTACAACTCCTATAAGATGTGATGTAAAAG